CCAACCCACTAACAGAATAAACATACCCAGGCAATAAGCGTTGACAATTCTATTTACTCATCTTGACTGTGTGCTAATGGAGGTACAGGAAGCTGACATCAAAGAAATGCTGAACACTGACAATGATGCACTTGTTGTGCATTCTTTGAGAGATGATGAAATTAGATGAATTGTGATATATAAATAAGCCGTAGAGTTGATATTAGCATCATATTGAAGTATTTTGTTGTGCCTCCTAAGAGCAGGAATTCCACTGGAATGGATTAATGACATTTCAGTTAATTTAAATGAGGAAAATGGACTCAGCATACGAACCAATCGGGATAAGAACAAGGTCATGGAACAGATTAAATTCGTAAGCCGAGGTTCCACTGTACGTATAACACACACAAACAGAATGAAAACAGATAATACCTACTACAATAACTTAATGGTTTATTGACAATGTTGAAAAGGCATAAGATAAATCAAGGCAAATGTCATATAAACAAATAGTATATGGGTCAAGGAAATGTTATTTTTGAAGCCAATTTAAATATTGAAATTTGCTTCTCTAATGTGAAACCTGTGGTTGTCTTGGTACACAAATACTTAATTCGGGGTCGAACTTTAGATAAACACTTTTGGATTTTATCTTCAACTGAAAGGAGACAATTTCTGTCTTTGCTTTTGATACTTGGTAAATAAGAAGAAGCTTGTTCACACATGTAAGGTTAAAAACTGCAGCAATATATTTATTGCCTTCCTGTGAATGGCTGGATACTCTTCATTGACAGAAATCCAGAACTTGTCCATGGAAGGTTAGAAAATCTCATCTTAAGTATACGATCAGACTGTAGATCACAAAGTTCTTCCTCTTCTCTTAAAGTCAGGTTCTCAGGATGAGCGGAAGATTCAGAGTACGGACCTCTCATCCAATCATATACTAATGTTGAAAGGGGGGAAAATAATATTTGATTGTTATCCACAGTTCTTCCAGGTGGGTTTCAATATAAATATAAATTTAAATTTATGAATATAAAATTAAAACACAAAAATTACTCAAAAACCATAACAATGTATCTACCTTATCAGCTAGGAAAATGATAGGATAGATAATGAGAACCTTCAAAACTAGGGATGCCAAGCCCATGATGGCACTCTTCAAATTGCTTGTTCTCTAGGTTGGAATACTGCTGTACACTAATGTTCCCCTTCAAGGCTGGCAACATTGCAAACTTGGAGAGCGTACAAAGAACTTTTACAGCACACATAAGTACGATAATGCACCTAAATTACTGGGAATGGTTGAAGGTCTTTGATCTGTATTCCCTGGAACACAGGCCAGAGAGATGCATGATAATGTACACTTGGAAGGTCCTGGAGGGATTGGTACCAAACCTACACCCGAAAATCACTCCCTATGAGAGCAGAAGGCTCGGCAAGAGATGCAACATTCCCCCGATGAAAAGCAGGGTTGCCATGAGTACACTGAGAGACAACACAATAAGTATCCGGGGCCCAAGACTGTTCGACTGCCTCCCAGCATACATAAGGGGGATTACCAATAGACCCCTGGCTGTCTTCAAGAAGGCACTGGAAAGGCACATAAAGTCAATACCTGACCAACCGGGCTGTGGTTCATACATCAGATTGTGTGCAGCCAGCAGTAGCAGCCTGGTTGATCAGACCCTGATCCACCATGCGGCCTGGCTTCAGACCGAGCAGTGGGGGTGTTGATCTCTGGAACCCTCTCCAGGTAAACACATGATCAGCCTAGTTATCATCATTTCTCTTGGAACTCCTAGCGACCTCTTGCGGAACCCTAGAACTCTGGGGAACCCCGGTTGAGAAACGCTGTTCTAGAGTTTACAGAGAATGGTGAGAGTAGCAATACAGTAAGTGTCAGGGGCCTAAGACTGTTCACCTGCCTTCTAGCATACATAAGGGGGAGTACCAAGAGACCCCTGGCTGTCTTCAGGAAGATGCTGGACAGGCACTTAAAGTCAGTACCTGAAGGTAATAAAACAAAGAGTACGAAATTTGATGGAAAATTGACGAAATTATGCTCTTGCGAATTTTGATATGTCAGTGATATTTATGCATCGGCGATTTTGCCGACTTTGATTCCCATTTTAGGCCAATTATATTATTCCAGTTGACCAAATTCTTAGCTATTTCACTAGTATTACTTCTATTCTATCGATTGAGCACAAGAAATCGCCAAGTCAACTATTTCAGCTACAAAATAAAGTGTTTGGAAATTGGTAATTTGGCCAATTTAATGAAAAGTTCAAAATATTCTAATTTCAAAATAGGGTCCAGAATAAACAATGCAGACATTCCTGGAACTAAACTAACATTTCCTCTGTTCATTAGTTACATTTTCAGGCTTTACAAATGAATTCCATTTTGATTTTTTATTCGCATAATGAATTTTTATTCAAATAAAAAAATAGAAGATTTACTGTTATGCAATACTGTAATAATTGTATAAATGATATCACCACATTTGTGAACGTATATTAGACCCACCAGCTGGCGTGTATTAGATGTGTGGGATCATTTGTTTACTCTTGAACATCGGCAAAAATTTAACATTTCTGCTATTTTGAGCTCAGTTTCAACCCATTTCCATTACTAAAACCAATCAAAATCGTCTCTATTTCTGTAATATATCTTCCATTCTATCAAGTGAGACCAAGAAATTGCAAATACAACTATAAAAAACATATGAAAAAACACTGCAAAGTCACTGTTTTAATCGAAAATTATGGTCTCAGTTTTTTTCTCTCATTATGCACTGTGTGCTGCAGGATTTGTTTTATGTGGTGCACACATACCACATAGATGTATTCTCTCATATCTAGGCCCAAATTTACCGCTCACAGCTTATCAGAATGAGCTGAGCTCATGGTGTAGATCTACAGTTTGGACCCTCAACATAAAGCCATAGATCTACGGCACAGACCCTCAAAGGGTTAACACGAAAACCAAGGGTCCACTGTAACTGGTGTGTAACTAGAGAAAATGTAATTCTTCTGACACTCCTACAAACCGCTTGGTAAACAAATTTCACATTTATGTCAATTTTTATACTGTGGGTGTATGTATCATGTGTTACGTAGCATGTTTATTATATAATTTTGAAAAAATACCTTAGAAGGATTACTGGAAATGTCTATATTAATGTAATATACACCATTTAATGCGCCCAAGAGATATGGCGTCAAGAGTAGAGATTCTTAGTGATTTTAATGTGTACCTGCATGCCAGCAGTGTGTAAATGTATTTAGGTACAGGTATACATAGGTACAGTGGACCCTGACTTACGATATTAATTCATTCCAGAGAGCACATTGTAAGACAAAATTATCGTAAGTTGAATTAATTTTCCCCCACAAGAAATAATGGAAATCAAATTAATCCGTTCAAGTCACCCAAAAGTATGAAAAAAAAAAATATTTTTACCACATGAAATATACATTTTCCTACACACAAACAGAAGGATACATATACAATATATATTGTGTAATGAAGAATAAATGACACTTACCTTTATTGAAGATGTGGTGATGAGTGATGGGATGGGAGGAGGAGAGATGATGGAGTTGTATTATTTTTTGGAAGGGGAATCCTCTTCCATATGGACCATGGTGGTTTATTTAGCAGTTACAGGCGCTAAAAACACTGGAATAATACAAAATATTCCGAATGTATGCATGAAAGTGACCGCACTGGCAGGTAAACATTGGCACACTAACTGAAGGCAGGGCAGCTGAGGCACGCTCAGGCCAGATGGACATGTGGACACTTATGGGACGGATGATGTAAGTCGAGTTTTTCAATGTAGGTCGGGGTCAAATTTTTATGCTGACAAGCATCGTAAGTCGGTTTTATTGTAGGTTGAGGCCATCGTAAGTCAGGGGTCCACTGTATAATTATCAGAGTACAGGTCGGCCATCACTAATCCAGCAATCAGTTATCCAGTTCCATCAGTAATCCGGCACTAATTTCAGCTAGCATAATTTCAAATTTCATGATTATATTGACTCAAATTTCATCATTATTCTGACTCAGAAATTGTGCAAATGGTTGTAAATCGACAGCAGGAATCCAGTGGAGGAGAAAGCAGTGATGAAAATGAGGAAGATGTAACAGAAAGTCTCTATTGATTGGTTAATTAAGTGTATTCTAACCTAACCACTATGTAATCTGGCAAACTCACTAATCTGGCACACTACAGGTCCCAGTGATGCCGGATTAGTGATGGCCGACCTGTATACATAAAATACACAGTAACTTTAAAACCCTCGAAATTTTGGAAAATTTCAAGACATAATAGAGAGATTTGCTCACAGAGAATGTAAACAAACCTGGTGGGGTGCCCTGTATTAGAAAGACCACTCACCATATGGCAAGTTTTGGTCATAATTTGAAATCGCCGTATTAGCGGAACACCATAAGGCAAAACGCCATAAAGTGGGGCCCTACTGTGTGTATATATATATATATATATATATATATATATATATATATATATATATATATAATATATATATATATATATATATATATATATATATATATATATATAAAAGTCGTTTTTTGTTTCCACAATAAGTGGAGAATTATCACTTTTTCACTGATGGGAAGCATCTCTTAGGTTTTGAAAAACTGCCACTGTTACTTCTTTTATGCTTTGTGGCAAAATTAAAGCTTATTCTAGGACCACAGTAAACCATGGATAACTGAAACCATGGAAACCAAATCTGTGGCTACAGGGGTTCTGCTATAGTTGTAGTACATAAGAACAAAGAACAATCGTTCTCCATTTATCAAGTATGAAGCTGAATGCTCCAGGACAGACTGAAACATTTCCTCTCTTAAAGGTGGGTTTTTTTTGTGATTTTTTCCGGCTATGGTATTGTGACTTAATTGTTCACAGATTGTAACAGAAGGTCACATGCTACCTCACACCTTAAGGCAGGAGACTAACACTGACATGTTGCATTTGACAGAGAGGATGCATGGGGACGGGTACCTGTCATCTCCAGAACGGTCACCACGACCTTATGCAACCACTGGCTCCACCTACCTCACCCAGACCCCCAGCTATGAGGACCCATATTATGGGGGACAGTATGGGTCTCGTTCTGGTTCGGTTACACCAATCATCGACGAGGAAGCCAGGTGAGTGCTATGTAGTGATGTGGTGGTGAGTAGTAGTGGTGTAATGGTGAGTGGTGGTGGTGGAGGTGAGTGATAGTGATGGTGGTGATGTGGTGGTGATGATGAGTGGTGGTGAGTGTGGAGAGTGTGCAGGGGTGGGGTAGAAGGTTTAAGAGGTGCTAACTTTTATTAATTTTAAACCCATGTGATAAGTAACAAAGTAAATATATTTTTAATTAGGTATTGCATTCTTATAATTTTTCTTTTACAATTTTCTCGAGAGTATACAGATGTTATGGCCACATAAAATAGTATATTATGCAGACTTGTCTTAGGATAAACCAGTGCAATTAATATGTGCCTTCCTACCTGTGGATTTATTCTTTATACTTTATACCTGTATGAAATCTTATTGTATGAACATGTCTAATGGCTTCATCACAAAGGATGATTTTTCTAACATTCCATCACAAAGGATGGTTTCACTGTCACTTCATCACACAGGATGATTATCCTGTTATGCTTCATCCCTTAAGATGTACAGTGGACCCCCGGTTAACGATATTTTTTCACTCCAGAAGTATGTTCAGGTGCCAGTACTGACCGAATTTGTTCCCATAAGAAATATTGTGAAGTAGATTAGTCCATTTCAGACCCCCAAACATACACGTACAAACGCACTTACATAAATACACTTACATAATTGGTCGCATTCGGAGGTAATCGTTATGCGGGGGTCCACTGTATTTCATACAAGGCGATGAAAGATATCGGCTTAAGACTGAAGACTTTTTTGTATAGACAGTGAGAATATCGTTAAACATTGCATTATGGGTTCAGTAGCATGACAAGTTTAGAGGTTTTTCTTCCTGAAGAGCCAAAGTTATTTTTACCGGGAGCTGTAATATAGTGTATATTTGTAATTCATCTGAGTTACTTTCCTGAAAGCTGATCCGTTAATAATTACTATGATTTACATACTGAAAAACATGTGGGGAAAAATGTTTTTCAGACCTCAAAAAAAAAAAAAATTTTTTTTACTATCGTAATTCTTAAAAAATAATACTTTTTCTTCCTAATTCTGTCGGAGAGCTGCTCTCTGAAATAGCAGAAAAGAGTGCATGTAGCTAAAAAATTGTTACATTAATACTGTACAATACTGTATTTGTTACTTAACTCTCAAATCAGATGGGGGATGCTTAACATATTGAAATGAATGGAGAGGGGTGGCTGTGGTCCTATTGGGCCAAGGGTGAAGGTTTGAGGATCTTGTGGTGGAGAGGGGTGGCTGTGGTCTTACTAGGCCAAGGGTGAAGGTTCGAGGATCTTGTGATGGAGAGGGGTGACTGTGGTCTTACTAGGCCAAGGGTGAAGGTTTGAGGATCTTGTGATGGAGAGGGGTGACTGTGGTCTTACTGTGCCAGAGGTTAAGGTTTGAGGATCTTGCAATGGAGAGGGGTGACTGTGGTCCTACTGGGCCAAGGGTGAAGGTTTGAGGATCTTGTGATGGAGAGGGGTGACTGTGGTCTTACTGGTCTTGTGATGGTGAATGATGAGGATCTTGTGATGGTGAATTTATTTATTTATTTATTTAGAAATTTTAGCATACATACAGAGGTACAAAAAAAATACAGGTAAGAGCAGCATGCCAAAGACATTATATGCCTGGGCATTACGGGCTGGCTTAAAATTAACTTAAGATTAACTAAGCAATGATGAAATCAGTGATAAGACATTATTGTAAACAGATAACTATAAAGCACAAATGAGTATTACAAAGACAGGTCATATGGTTGCATGCATTGCTGTTCATTCAGTAGAATGGAGTATTCTGTTAGGTAGTGTATTTAAAAAAATAACAAAGTTGATTGGGTCTAGGTTTAAAAATTTATGTGGATATAATTGTGAGTAACATTTTGGATATACAATTTAAAAGGGTTTTTCCGTTATTCAGTATTTATTTGGTTTTGAGTGAGTAAGTGAACTTTGAGAAGGATTTGAATTTATAAACAGGTAGTGTTTCTTTTATATTTACAGGTAATAAATTTCCCAGATTTTGGGCCTTTTATGTGCTTTGGGTTTTTTGCATAGCGTGAGATGGACACGAGGAACTTCAAAGAGTGATCTGTGCCTTGTGTTATGGTCATGTGTTCTGTTGAGGTTGGCAAGGAGATGTTTGAGGGGAGGGTTAATATCAGAGTTAAGTGTTTAGGGTATGTAATAGGTGCAATAATAAGTATGGTTGTTTTGTATGGTGAGTGGGTTTGAGTGTTTTGAATATTGGTGGGTGTGTTGCCTGTAGTGAGAATTTGTTATCATTCTAACTGCAGCCTTTTTGTTGGGTAATTAGTGGTCTGAGATGGTTAATTTTTGTTGAGCCCCATTTTACAAATTCCATATGTGAGATAGGGGTAAATAGAGGTGATAAAGGGCCAGGAGGGCTGACTGTGGAACATATTTACCGTATCTTCGATATGTATGCCTACAGTCTTGGAATTTTCTTAGAAATTTGTTGTATATGTGTATGAAATTTGAGTCTATTATCGAGGTGGATTCCTAAGAATTTTCCCTCTGTTAGCTTTGTGATAGGTGATCCATTTATCATTATGTTAAGAGGTTAAAATCTGTAGCTCTGTTACCAAACTGAATGAAGTAGGTTTTGTCAATGTTTAGTGTAAGTATGTTAGTCCTCATCCAGGTAGATATTTTCTGTAATTCGGTTGTTTACAGTAAATTTGGGTAGCGTGACTGGGCTCGGGTGAGAGAAGACGTATGTAGTGTCATTTGCAAAAAGTGTGGGTTTGAGTAATTGCGAAGCATTTGGTAGGTCATTTATGTATAGGAGAAAGAGAAGAGGGCCAAGGACACTTCCCTGTGGGACACCAACTGTAATTGGTTGTGCGGAAGAGCTTGCCCCATTTGCGTACACATATTGGCTTCTGTTGCTGAGGTAAGACTTGAGGTAGTTGAGGGAGTGCCCTCTAATACCATAGTGTGACAATTTTTCGTGGAGCAAGTCATGGTCAACTGTATCAAAAGCTTTACGTAAGTCAATGAAGATCCCCAGTGGGACTTCTTTTTTCTCTATTGCAGTGTATATATCAGTGTATATATCATGAAAGATTGAATATCAGATTGGAGGGAGAGAGTATGGAGGAGGTGAACGTATTCAGATATTTGGGAGTGGACGTGTCAGCGGAGGGGGTCTATGAAAGATGAGGTGAATCATAGAATTGATGAGGGAAAAAGAGTGAGTGGTGCACTTAGGAGTCTGTGGAGACAAAGAACTTTGTCCTTGGAGGCAAAGAGGGGAATGTATGAGAGTATAGTTTTACCAACGCTCTTATATGGGTGTGAAGCGTGGGTGATGAATGTTGCAGCGAGGAGAAGGCTGGAGGCAGTGGAGATGTCATGTCTGAGGGCAATGTGTGGTGTGAATATAATGCAGAGAATTAGTAGTTTGGAAGTTAGGAGGAGGTGCGGGATTACCAAACATGTTGTCCAGAGGGCTGAGGAAGGGTTGTTGAGGTGGTTCGGACATGTAGAGAGAATGGAGCGAAACAGAATGACTTCAAGAGTGTATCAGTCTGTAGTGGAAGGAAGGCGGGGTAGGGGTCGGCCTAGGAAGGGTTGGAGGGAGGGGGTTAAAGGAGGTTTTGTGTGCGAGGGGCTTCGACTTCCAGCAGGCATGCGTGAGCGTGTTTGTAGGAGTGAATGGAGACAAATGGTTTTTAATACTTGACGTGCTGTTGGAGTGTGAGCAAAGTAACATTTATGAAGGGATTCAGGGAAACCGGCAGGCCGGACTTGAGTCCTGGAGATGGGAAGTACAGTGCCTGCACTCTGAAGGAGGGGTGTTAATGTTGCAGTTTAAAAACTGTAGTGTAAAGCACCCTTCTGGCAAGACAGTGATGGAGTGAATGATGGTGAAAGTTTTTCTTTTTCGGGCCACCCTGCCTTGGTGGGAATCGGCCGGTGTGATAATAATAAAAATAATATGTTCTAGCATGTGTATAATAGCATCATTAGTATTTTTATTAGGCCTGAATCCAAATTGGCAGGGGTTGAGAATGTTCTGGGAGATGAGGTAGGAGTAGATTCGTTTATGAATTAATTTTTCGAAGATTTTTGAGAGAGGGTGTAAATTGGATATTGGCCTATAGTTATTCAACTGTTTGGTCTCCTCCTTTATGGATCGGGGTGACCCTTGCTATTTTGAGAACTGTAGGGAAGGTGGAGGATTCAATGGATTTGTTAAAGAGTGTTGCAATGATTGGTGATAGTACTTGTGACGCTTTTTTGTATATAAAGGGTGGTAAGGTATTTAAATCTCCTGCCTTGTTTTTCAGTGCGTTGATAATAAGGGAGACTTCGTATGGGTTAGTCGGAGCTAGGAACAGTGTGTTCGGGTAGTTGCCAGTGAGGTAGTCATTTGGTGGGGGTATCTGAGCTTGGGATTTTTTTGGCAAGGTTTTGACCTATAGTGGAGAAGAAATCATTGAGTCTGTTTGCTGTTTCTGTTGGTGGGAGTTGGGGGTTCATCTGATTTTGCTAATTTTATTTCGCTATGTCGTGATATCTTTTTTGTTCCCAGAATTTCTGATAGGGTCTTCCAGGTCTTTTTTATTATCACCTCGTAAGTTGGGATAATCTGTTTTTCATAATACAATTTTTTTGCCCTTCTTATCAGGCTGGTTAGGATTGACGAGTAAACATTTTGTTTGGTCTCTGGTTATGTGACCCATTCTGTACTGTTTTTCTATCAGTGTTTTGTATTTATGGATTTGAGAATGCTGGGTGTTAGCCAGGGACTGTTCGCAGTCTCTTAGCTGTCATCTGTTTAGTTTTTTAGGGCAGTGCTTGTTATAAAGGTATTGGGTCTTTTTTAGAAAATTATTAAAACATTCGTCATATCTGTATAGATTTCTAGCTCAGTGTGCCAGTCAATGTTTGTTACTGCTGTTGTGAAGTTATTAATGGCTGCCTCATTGTGAAGTCTGAAGGTGACTTTAGTAGTGTCT